TTGGGGGGGGGGGGAAACCCTAGGCTAATAATTCATCAAGTCTTGCTCAAGTCTTAGAAGATTAACAAGGAAATCTCACAAGTTCTTCATCTAAGATGTAAGGTTCCATACCCTAGTTTTCAATTTTGAATTTGGGAAGAAGATGGTTGATTAGGAGTGTGATTCTTGGGTATGAGAGTATTATTTATACATGCATGTATCAATAAGATTTGTGGAAAGATTATTTAGCTTAAATAAGTAAGGATTGTGCTGTGGAGTGAAGGAAATCTTATAGAAGAATCTTGTGGTTAAATTTGCACACCTAGTATTTGATAAAATACTCAAACAGGCTGAGATCATGAATATCTTCCTAATTATGGTTCAATTTTGTTATGTCTCAAAATATATTGGGATTGCTAGAATTTCCGGAACGTTGTAGTAATTTAAGGAAAGCCCAATTGAGGTATGTTGGCTAAACTTTCTCTCTTGAAATAGATATCCATATTGTTTCCGTAAGATCAAATATGATTGGCTCAAGATTCCTAACTTCTATATTCCGGGTTACTCCCTATAAGCTTGTTTATTCCGAATGAGCCTTATGTTAAAAGATAGATGTTCAAAGTATGGTTTGCGTATTAAAATGGTGTAGCTTTGAGTCGTGTTTTAAATGAAAACTAGTATACCAATTGGATGAGAAAAACTCGATATGCTTAAGACTCATAATTGCTCATATGTGTACCTAAAGTCTGGATTGAAAATGTATTATTGTTGATAACATATAATGCTAGATGGAAATGAAATAATTGAATTGGGGATATAGGACCCGTTTTGGCCATAGATTTTGTCAAAATAAATTTAGATTTTATTTGACAAACACATATTTGGCCATAGATTTTGCCTATATTTTGGCAAAATTCCAAATTCCAATAGCTGGTTTTGGGCCAAATCCCTAATAATACACATGTTTTTTCAAAATAAATTTGGAAAATATATTTTGAAAACGTATGTCCAAACACATTTTCATCTTCAAGCCAAACGCTAGCATAGTGTGTGGCCAACGTGCCAAGGATTTAAGTTACGACTGTGGCTAGTAGTGCAAATGATTTGAGAGAATGAAATAAAGAATATGAAATGAGTCTCGACTCGATTGTTTGAAAACTATTTCGAAAATAGAATTGCATAAAGGCTTTTGTATTCAATTCATGCCCATAAGTGACCGTTTTAATTAATGCCTTGCTTTATAAATATATCCAGTGTGATTCAAGTTCTATATACTCATGTGTTAAAATTGTACATTATCATTTTTGGGAAAAAGTATTTCAAGAATAAATGGGGTGTCACTTGTTGATGATTTGAACTTGCGCATCAATTGTCAATTATTTTACTCCATTTTTCGGAAAGAAATCTATTGTGCTTAAATTGTTCAATTCTAATGAACTTGAAGTTGTGATTTCCGGAATATTCTATATCTTGATATTTGATGGTGATCTTGAAATTGAAAGAGGTGAAAGTGTGGAATATGAAATATGGCCATCGTGCGAGGAATAAAGAATCTTGTGAATGACCAAATGAGCCAAGGAAATATTGTCGTTGTGAATGACTAGAAATATTAATGAGAATTTATACAATGTGAAAAATATTGAGGTGAGTACAATTGTATTATGATATTTCTGTTTTGCAAATCAAATCAAAAATATTTTTGGGAGTATCATTAGCAAAACAGAGTAAGGGTGGGTCATAAGGCCCACACCTGAAACTACACGTGCCAGTGTAGGGGTAGATTGGGATTATTCCCCTTATTTGGGCAATGGAATCAGGTTGACTGCGCTATAGACCACGCTTCGCGAGTTCTATAGCCAGTTTGACCGCGCTATAGACCAGGCTTCGCGAGGTCTATAGCAAGGTTGACCGCGCTACAAACCAGGCTTCGCGAGATCTATAGCCAGGTTGACCGCACTACATACCAGGCTTCAGGAGGTCTATAGCACGGTAATGAAAAATCGAGGGTTAAAAGACCCCAAACCGGATTTGGACTGAGTGATCTCGGCCTTACATATAAATACTCCCCAAACGAGTTATTCTAGTGTTGGACAGGATTTTGGAGGAGAAAAAGGCTGCAAGGCATTGTGGAGCAAGAATCAAACGACTTTTCCATTCATTTATCTATTTACTTTGTAGTTTAATGTCGTTGAACATTATGTTAATTGTTGTTGTATTTATGAGTAGCTAAACTCTCTTATCTAAGGGTTGATGAGACCTATTGGAGGATGATTTTTTACTGCGTTTAATATAGATTCACCTTTGATTTTTCTCTACTTGTTCAACTATATTTTCATTATTATTAATTGAGGAGCTCTCAATTAACTGGGCCTATTTAGTGTGTATATTGCTCGAGAGAATACACATTTGGTAGTTGTTGAACAACACCACTCCTAACGTAATTGAGAGATCGATACAGAAGGTTTAAAGGCAGAATTAGAGATAACGAAACCTTGGCGCGATCGTAGTGAGCGGTAAATTAGTGTCAGTTAGCGTAGTTCGAGAGAATGCGTCTAGTAAATTATGGTAGTTGCTCGAGAGAGAGCTACGACAATCAAAGTATTCACGATTGGTGAAAAATATTTAGGCAAATCCATAAAAAACGTAGCGGAAAAGATTCCGACAATAGAAAAAATCATAACCTTAGACTTTTCCAAATCTTATCTACAACAATTGCTTTGTTATTTATAAATTACTGCATTTTTAATTACTTTAATCTTAGTTAGTAAACTCTCAAATCATTATATAATATTTTTGAAGGTTGATTACTTGAATTCGTGAAAAAAAAAAATTATTGGTTGTAATTAGTATATTATTTTCCTGTGGGATTCGACTTTGGACTTGTAAACCCGATTATATTTGTAAGGACCGCTATACCTTTTCGGAGACATAGTTCTCATGCATTCCAAAAGGCTTCAAATTTGGTTATGGGCGTAAACCTTCACAAATTAAAAGCTCGAGGGGTGAAGGCCTCCTTCTTCTGCCCCCTTCCGCTCAATAATAATCCATTATAATTTTACTAGTGAGATCCGGGGAGGTTAGTGTCTACGCATAGTTTACTCTGAGTTAAAAATATTATTTTCGATATATCCTTAAGTCCTTACCTCCAAGAACTTTTACCTTGATTTTGGATGACTCGAACTCACAACCTCTTGGTTGATTGGAATTAGAAGGTGATTGGTTTTATAGCAACCCACTCTTTTAAAAACATTAAGGATAACAGCATTCCACATTTCCCTTAATTTTCGTCCTTTTCAGGTAGGCAAAGTAGGCATCTAATCATTACAATTAAGACCAATTTTCCTCCTGTACCATAGATCAGTATTACTATAGTATTATTTTTACCTATAAATATATCTAAGATTTAATAATTTTTTGGCACAGATTCTAACTATTCTTGGAATCACATAAATAACCTTTTAATCAAATTCTGCATATATTGTCTGTGGCTGAACCATCAAATTTTCACTCATCTTGAACTGGGAATTTAATAAAGATTCAAACTTTTGGCTTTTGGGTTTTGAGAAATGAGAATGTTCAACGGCATGATGGATCCTGAATTGATCAGAATGGCTCAAGAGAAGATGAATCGAATGTCCCCAACTGAGTTAGCTCGGATTCAGCAACAGGTTCCTTATATTTAGATACCCTTTTGCTGAAATTTTCAATCTTTATTATTAACTTTGTGAATTGTGATTGTTCATATAAAAGGCGTAGTTGAATTTGGTTGTAATTGTTAAATGATAAAGTTATGATTTTTAAGATACAATGGGCCTTCTTGTAAAATTTTAACCATAGGGGTCTAATTTAAAAAGTTGAAGAGTGGAGTTAATGAATATTGCGGTAGGTCACTGTTCTTGAATACCCTTTTACTAAAATTCTCAAAGTTTTCATCTTTGTGATTGTTCTGTGTGAAGGGCATAGTTGAATGTTATGTTAATTGCTTTGCACGGTTTAAGTTTAGTTATTCAGAAAAAACAAATTCTTTTATTTATTTTTTTGATAAGTTTGATCATAAGGTTCTGAGGAAATGTTCCTTTTTTTTTTTGACTTAGTGAATTTGCAGCAGGTCCCTTTATCTGGCAGAGAGTGTTTTTATAGCAGGATCTAGCTGTTATTTATGGTTTGAGTTTGTAAAGTGTGTACGTCTCACCTTATTTAAGGAGCAAATTAAATATCTAAGGTGAAGAGCTGCCTGTAAAACAAGTAAAAAAAACCTTTTAGGATAAACAACAACAACAACAACCCAGTAAAATCCCATAAGTGGGGTCTTACTATATCAGTACCTTCAACAGAAAATCAAGAAAAAATGACAGCATCGTAAGCACCAGAAAATAAATTTTTTAAAAAAAACCTTTTAGGATATTTTGGTATATTTAAGCTCTTGGTTTTGCAAGTTCAAATCTAAGGGGTGGCTGCTGAACTTAAAAATTGCTTTTGGCAGGTTTTGTCAACTGCGTGACATTATCATGAGTGGCATAGTTGTGTGTTACTCTGAATAAACTAAGTAGAGAGTAGTTAACTTATGGCATGTTTGCTTCTGATCATCATTAAATGGTCAGATTCTTTCCTGTTTCTTTTTATTATTTTTGCTCTCCAAGGTGGGGTAGATTGCAATTTGGACTTTATTTGACTGCTGGTCTGTGGTTAATAATCCTGATCATGCAGATGATATCTAATCCTGAATTAATTAAGATGGCTTCGGAATACATAAAAAACATGAAGCCAGAGGACTTGAAGGTTGCCGCAGAACAGTTGAAGCATACCCGCCCAGAGGAGATGGCTGAAATTGGTGAGAAGATGGCTAATGCATCACCTGAAGAAATAGCAGCAATGCGTGCCCGCATGGATGCACAGGTTTCTTATGAATTAAGTGGAGCTCAGTTGCTGAAGAAGCAGGTAAAATGCCTGCAGCACAGATATAGGGTTATGCTTTTTAAAGCTGTATCTGAGTTGTTATGGTCCAGATTTGTTAATTGCATCTTTTCCCTTTTAAAGAATGACTTCTCTTTTAATACCACTTCTCTATATTAGGAAGTTGCAGTTTTTTCAAAGCTTAGTCCCTTAAACGATAGACTGAATACAAAAGATTACCATTAAAGAAGACCAATTACTTAATGAGAATAACTTTCTAAGAGCATGAGAGCTGGATTTAAATCTCATATCAATATAAGTTTCATATGAAACCATCTTAAACTATCTAATATGCTAAAAGTTTCTTTAAGTGCATTGTACTTCCTGCAACATATGATATTCACAGTTTATCTGCTAGCTTTTCTACTTCTTGCCATCTTTAATTGAAAATTTCTCTCTTCTGTGTGTTACATGAACACTTTTAACTTGTAAACTACAGGTATATTTTGGTTTACAACTTTTAACGTAAACTTAACTAAGCAATAATTCTGACGTATGTGCACAATTAGATCCAGTGACTGAGGACTTACTCTTGTACGTGATATTACAATCGAGAAATAGTCCAAAAATATTGGCTTTTATGCCTTTAAACTTTGATTTTAGTAGTTTAACAGCCTTTATTCTGAAATAATGACTATATAGTACTTGACGGAAGCTTTGGTTTATGTCCTAATCTAGTGTATTAAGTATTCCGGTGTTTAATGGCAGGGAACTGAACTTCACAGTCAGGGAAGATTTAAGGATGCCCTGCAAAAGTATTCGCTTGTAAGTCTAAACTTTGCCTTCAGCATTTGTTTGTATCTCCAGTTCTACACACATCAGCTTCTGTCTGTTCTTTATATTTCTTTCCTTTGATTACCAGGCAAAGAAAAATCTGTCAGGCATTCCTGCTGCGAAAGGCAGAAGTCTTCTATTGGCTTGTTCCCTGAATATGATGTCATGTTACTTAAAAACTAGGCAGTACGATGAGTGCATAAAAGAAGGTACTGAGGTATGAAATGAAACATAATGCTTGACATTTTGCTCATTATAAGATTAAATGTATTATGATTGATGTCATTTTCAGTTAATTTTGTATAGTGGTGTCCTACATCTGCTTTGTCTTCAAGCGTCTTTCTCTTTACATGCCTGCTGATTTTCTATTGGTTCCTCCTCTACTCTCTTTGTTTTCCCCCTTCCTTTTTATTTTGGGGTTGGGGGTGGGGGTGGGTGGGTGCTCATCTGCAGTCTTCTCACCTTTGGATGGCGGAATTCGATTCACCCTTTTGGTTATTAATTGTATCCCAATCTTAATGTCCATTTTCCTCAATCCCAAAATAGTATTACTGTCTTGAACTCCCATCTTAAACTGAATGTCCACTTTATAACATTTACTTTCTTAAAAAGATGCTTAAAACATATTGTAAAATTGGAAAGGTTGCAGTGAGTTCACCTTTTTCTCCTTTTTAATACAAATTTTACTTTTATTCCTTTTTAAAAAAACAAAATAATAACTTAAAGTACTCAAAATTTCTCATTTCTAAAAGAAACCATAAACTTTTCTACTCTGTTCCAAAATCCCAAGCTCTGTTATAACTTTCAAATGTCAACTCGCCTTTGATGACTGATGAGTAGGATTCTTATGGAGTGCACATAAAAATATGAGTAACATGATGGTTGAAGTGATATATGGCTGGTGCAGGTTTTGGTGTATGATGAGAAGAATGTCAAAGCCCTTTACCGTATGGGTCAAGCTTATAAAGAACCTGGACAGTTAGAAGTGAGCATTCACTGACCATTATAAGATTTCTTGTTATTCATTTCTTCCTTCTAATGTCGTCCTTTACAATTTGGAGATATCTGTGAAATGTCTCATCTTTATTTGGCAAAACTTAAGCAGGATGCAATGTCCGACTTAAGTAAAGCACATGAAGTATCACCTGATGATGAAACTATTGCGGATGTTTTAAGGTATTGTTAATTACAACTTTAAATTAAATGGTTAATATACATATTTGGCGTGTTTTCCTCTCCTCTTTCTTGTATCTGTGAAATATACTTAACATCTAGATATGCATTATTTCTTTTTATTAATTTTTTTCTTCATAAAACAAACATATGCATTATGTAAAAGAATGGGTTTTTACTGGTACAAGGATGCCTAAGAAAGATTGGTGAAAGAAGGTGGACAACGTACTTCTAGAGGTGTTTTCATTCTATATGTGCAACCTAAATTTCTTCCTATCGGCCGGGAGGAATCGGATAAGATATTTTATCTAAAGCCCATCAACCATCATCGTTTTTGAGATCTGCTACAAAAAGGCTTTCTTCTCCCAATGTTCATGGGCCATTGTGCATGCTAGACCAGACATAGGATTTAGATTTCCTCTCCCTACTTCCATTCCTCTTTCTTACTGAAGCATTTTTGCGGATGAAATTCAGCCCTTTTCCATAGTGAAGCTTTAGCTTGCTTCTTTTCTCGATTGATAGAAGGACGGATAATTTGTTTTGAACCTTCCTCACATAAAGTCTTATTTCTATTTCAATCCAACAATCAGGATGGATAGAAAGATATACCATTTGTCCTTTGATTCTCTGACCGAGTTGGAATTGCGGGGAGAGCTATAGCTCTAGACGAAGATTAACGACTTGGCATTACCGGTTAAGGGGAAGGTCTTGAAGCTCGACTGATTAGAAAGTAGGTCTTGGTAAGGACGGTATGCATTACAGACCCTGGTCCTGGGGAATAAGAGTCAGAATTCGGTACAAGCCTACTGATATAATTTCTTATAGTAAGGTAATAAGAGGGTATGGTTTCCGCAGCACTAAGAGTTGGGGTTAGCTCACAAGGTAGCTCAGTCCCGCGAGGGGATCCATCGACAATAAAGTCATTCAAGAGAGAAGATGGTGCTATTTCCTTAGCTAGCTTGGACTAGGAAGAATGAATTGTCTCTAGAACCCTTGGTTGGTCTTGGCAAAGCGATAAAAGAACAGGTATGTGAGAATGCACATGAGAAAATCTATATTGATCAATTAATTATAATACAATGAGCCCTATTTATAACTATACATAATACAGATCCTACTCCTATTCAATATGGGACTCGAACTAATTACATATTAACTATATAACTATCTAACACTCCCTCTCAAGTTGGTGCATACAAATCATATGTACCGAGCTTGTTACATGTGTAACTAATACGAGGATCAGTGAGGAACTTGGTGAAAATGTCTGCAAGCTGATCATTCGACTTCACAAACTTTGTAGCAATATCTCCTGAGAGTATCTTTTCTCTGACAAAATGACAATCAATCTCAATGTGTTTAGTTCTCTAATGGAACACCGGATTTGATGCAATATGAAGGGCACCTTGATCATCACACACAAGTTCCATTTTGCCGATCTCACCAAATTTCAATTCATTAAGCAAATGTTTGATCCAAACTAGCTCACATGTTGCCACAACCATTGCTCGATATTCCGCTTCTGCACTAGACCGAGCAACCACATTTTGTTCTTGCTCTTCCAAGACACCAAATTATCTCTTACTAAAACACAATATCCAGACGTAGAACGTCTATCAGATGGTGATCCTGCCCCGTCAACATCTGAGTACCCAACAATTTGCTCATGGCCTCGATCTTCAAACAATAATTCTTTGTCTGGAGCTGATTTTATATATCGAAGAATGCAGACAACTGCATCCCGATGACTATCACAGGGAGAATCCAGGAACTGACTTACCACACTCACAGGAAAGGAAATGTCAGGTCTAGTCACTCTGAGGTAATTTAATTTACCAACTAGCCGCCTATATCTTGCAAGATCGCTAAGCGCCTCACCCTGTCCTGGTAGAAGTTTAGAATTCGGATCCATAGGAGTGTCAACAGGTCTACAGCCTGTCATTCCTGCCTCTTCAAGAATGTCTAAGGCATACTTCCGTTGTGAGATTACAATACCTGAGCTAGATTGAGCGACCTCAATACCTAGAAAATACTTTAATCTGCCCAGATCCTTAGTCTGAAAGTGCTGAAAGGGATGTTGCTTCAACTTAGTAATACCATCCTGATCATTGCCGGTAATAACAATATCATCAACATAAACCACAAGATAAATACTGAGATTGAAGCAGAATGCCGATAAAATACAGAGTGATCAACTTCACTACGAGTCATGCCAAACTCCTGAATAACTGTGCTTAACTTACCAAACTAGGCTCGAGGAGACTGCTTTAGACCATAGAGGGACCGGCGCAACCGACATACAAGGCCACTAGACTCCTCCCTGAGCAACAAAATCAGGTGGTTGCTCCATATAAACCTCATCCTCAAGGTCACCATGAAGAAAAACATTCTTAATGTCCAACTGATAGAGAGGTCAATGGCGAACAACCATGGATAGAAAAAGACGGACGGAGAAAGTATCACTGTAATCGAGCCCAAATATCTGAGTATACCCTTTGGCAACAAGGCGAGCCTTAAGTCGATCAACTTGGCCATCTGGACCAACTTTGACTGCATATATCCAACGACAACCAACAGTCGATTTACTCGAAGGAAGAGGAACAAGCTCCCAAGTACCACTCATATGTAAAACAGACATCTCGTCAATCATAGCATGTCGCCACCCTGGATGAGACAATGCTTCACCTGTAGACTTAGGGATGGAAATAAAGGACAAAGATGATACAAATGCACAATGGGGTGATGACAGACGATGGTAACTTAAACCGACATAATGGGGATTAAGATTAAGTATGGATCGTATACCTTTCCGCAGTGCAATCGGTTGACTAAGAGGAGACAAGTCCGCAGTATTGGCAGGGTCAGGTGTAGGACGTGAATCAGCTGGGCCTGATACTGGAATGCCAACTGACGTCTATTACTGAATTCACCCAACCCCTGACTCATTGTACTAGTTATTGCCATCGCTAGTGCTATATTAGTGTATTGCTAGTGAACAGAGCGAATTGTAAAGGTAGAAAAAAACAGATCAATCAAGAGATAGTGGTTCGATTTTCTCCTAAACAAGGACGAACGACTGAGGAGAGTCGTCTCAAATGCTGATACCATTTTATAAATAAGCCAATAAAAATTAACAAGTAGAAGCCAGTGAAAGTGAAAGAGGAATAAGTAGGGTATGACGAAGCCCTAGGCCTAATGGGTAGTACGTAAACAAGTACAGATCACATGGTTTTGTACTGATCCGCTTTCGAGCTATCAAGTGACGATTGGTTGATGGGTCCTTTTTTCTTTTATAAGGGAAGCGATTGTAGCTGGGTACAAATAATCCGGTGAAAGACGAATAGGCAAGCACGCAGGTTGTACCGGTCATCTTTGAGGTATCGAGCGACGATGTGCGCTATATTATTGTGTCTTATTCCTTAAGGAGTGATCCGGGATTAAGTCATGTGGCAATACCCGCCAAAAGAAAGGGGGCCTTTCATACGGATTGGAACGGAGATAATTATTCAGCACACTAAAATCTAGTGGAGGGGGTTACATATTCATGAAAAGCCGAGGTTGAAACATGTTATGAAACTAATACAACAATTATTTCTAACAATAAGAAAGAGTTAAGCGCCTCAAGGCCTATAAATAGAAACTTCTTGAAGTCTATTTTCAAAGAGGGACGTAGAAGTCAAAAAGAAATATTTTTAGTAACACTTATTCCAACAACTCTGAACGGATATCGTCGGAAGACTTGCAACAATTCAAGAATCAATTCAAGTTGTCGAAAACGAAAAAGAACAAAGGCAGCAAACCCTGGCTCCCTTTTGGGAGCACCTGCCTCCCATCGATCCTGCACTTGTGGCTGCAGCCATGCAGCGGATCCGGGATTGCATTAGCGTCCTGGAACACAGGAAACGAGCCCTCCTCCAAGAACAGGAAGACCTAATTGTGGGTGATGTCATCCGTGGTCACCAGGGAGACTAGAATAGAAGAGTCCGTGGACTCTTTTTAGTTTTATAAGGACACTTATTTAACCCTAACCACTAGACTTTAGGTGTCTACAAACATTTATTTAAACCTTCTAAAATTAAAACGAGTCGACGAACTCTTCTATTCTCCTTGGCGACCACGGATGACAACACCCACAATTAGGTCTTCATGTTCTTAGAGAAGGGCCCGTTTCTTGTCTTCTAGGACACTAATGCGATCCCGGATCCGCTGCAGCCACTAGGCAGGATCGATGGGAGGCAGGTGCTCCCAAAAGGAAGCCAGGGTTTGCCGCCTTTGTTCTTTTTCGTTTTCGGCGGCTTGAATTGATTCTTGAATTGTTGCAAGTCTTCCGACGATATCCATTTGAGTGTTGTTGGAATAAATTTTACTGAAAGTATTTCTTTTTGACTTGTACTTCTCTCTTTGAATATGTAGACTTCAAGAAGCTTCTATTTATAGGTCTTGGGGGTGCTTAACTCTTTCTTATTATTAGAAAATAATTGTTGTCTTAGTTTTATAACATGTTTCAACCCCGATTTTTCATGAATATGGAACTCCATCCACTAGATTTTAGTGTGCTGAATAATTATCTTCGTACTCCAATCCGTACGAAAGGCCCCATTTATTTTGGCGGGTATCGCCTCGTGGCTTAATTCCGGATCACTCTTTAAGGAATATGACACAATAATATAGCGCATATCAGAGAAGGGAGTACCCTTTATTATAAGACAGGCACCTCGCGTCCTTTCTTAAGAGATGGAGCAATGGTCACTCGACAACTCAAAGTTGACCGGTCGCGTGCTTGCCTACTCGTCTTTCACCGGCCTATTTGTACCTAACTACAATCTCTTCCCTTATAAAAGAAAAAAGGGCCCCTCGGCAAATCGTCACTCGAAAGCGGATCAATACAAAACCATGTGATATGTACTTGTTTACGTACTGCCCCTTAGGCCTAGGGCTGCATCGTACCCTGCTTACTCCACTTTCACTTTCACTGGCTTCTACTTGTCTTTTTTTATTGGCTT